AGGACTGACCCAGCCAGGAATAAAGTGATGATACCGGGATTAAAACTGTGTCACGGGCTGGTTGCCTTCCAGAAAATGCTTCATTAAAGTCACGCAGTTGCTCCTGCCCGGTGGGGAGAGGGGCAGCTCTGATCTTCGTTTCTGGGGGGCCGGGTTGCTCGCAGGTCTCTGCACCCCGAGATGGGACAGTGCCCTCTCAGCAAAGGCACCCCTGGGTGCTGCTGTGGTGCCGGCGATCCAGGGGCTCCCAGGGAATGTGGAAGAAACGAGGAGGTTTTGCATGAGAAACGCATCTGCTCTGCTGATTTGTAATGCGCCAGCTGGGGCTTTGATCCTCGTTAAAGAGGGAGCGAGGGGTGCCCCGCTTTGAGCCGGCACTTCCAGTATCGCAGTTTGCGGGCTCCATCCCCATCGCTCCTGAGTTACAGTTTCGGCTCCGGGACTTTGCTGCTTGGTGTAAGAGTGAGGAAAGGGCTCAGTTGGTTCCCCCAGCGATGTCCTTAGGGACTGTGCTCCCCTGGACCACGGCTCTGCTGGCAAAGGGCATCCCCAGCCGCTCACAGCCCGGGTTCCCACGCTGTATCCATGGGCATGCCCAGGCTCCGAGCGTGCAGAGGGTGCTGGGGATGAAGGACGGGCTCTGTTATTTGTTCTCATCCAAAAATCAGCTGCTTTTGAGTTCTTGTGTTGGTAGCCAAGTGTCCCTCTGCATCCAGTGAGGCCCTGGATGAATTCATTCCCTTTTCCTGCTTGGGATCCTGAGCAGAGAAGTCACTGTGCCCGGTGCCAAGCCCAGGTCCTCATAGAAATAAATTCAGGAGCCTGTTTCTCGCTGGTGCGGTCACAGGCAGCGTCGGGCAAGTCCCACACGTAGTGTCCTGCACAAATTCACTGACCTCTTACGCATGTGCATGAATATTTAACCTATCTTCCTGCTGCAGGTGAAATACATCCCACCTCCTTCCATCAGTGCAGCACACTCGGTCTATAGTACCCCGATGGATGAAATAGAGGAATTGCTGTAATGTTTTATTTCAGTGCACAGTAACGATGAGGTTTTGATCTCTCTCTGGTGCCGTTAATGTGTTTGTCTTAAGGCAGCAGTCGAACCGGGCAGCGCTGTGATCTGGTGGTATTTGTTATACATTTATACTGTTGCTCAGGTCATGCAAACACACGGCCAAAAGAGTTGTTCCTGCCCTGGCGAGTTCACAGCCCGAGTAATGCGGACACTGGTGCATTGGGCAGAATGAGGCACTTCCAGGTGGAGCAATGGGGCAGAGGGAGGCGGTCGCGCTGTCTGGACGGGGTTCCCAGCCCATTTCGGTCGCGTGGTTTGGGCAAACCAGTTCCCCAGAGGAGCCGGGGTGAGTCACTGCGGCTGTGAGGGTTGGTTCAGTGCAGCAAGTTGAGACGCTGGGGTCAGTGCAGAAGTGCGAGATGCTGCTTGGTCTGGGTTGGTTTTTTTTCCTTTTTGTTTTGAGTAAACCACCAAAGTTATGCTGTTAAATTATAAAATCGAGCAAAGACCAATGCAGACATTTTAATCATCGGCAAATAAAGTTACGGTATCTTTTATGTGGTTCAAATCTGTCAAACATACTTTTAAAAGCTATTTTGCAGTAAGGTAGGTCTTTATTATATCTACGATTATATCCCCATCTGGAACTGCAGCTCGCAAAGAGCGGCGCGTTCGGACAGCTCTGCAATGAGAGTTTCGAAATTCCCCGTTTCAGACTCCTTGAGCGTGTACTCTGCGTTCCTGCCAGGCGAATTCAATACCCCCTGCACGTGTAACAGCCCAGCATCCGCGCAGAGCCCGTGTTCGCATCATACGTGTTCGTTGTATGTGCATTTATGGATACGTGCAATGCGTGTCCGTGCTTGCAAAGCCGGCACCCGTGCCCAGAGAAGCCCACCCAGCAGCCATTCAAATAGGGTACCTGCATGGAGATGAGCGGAGCAGGAGGTAGAAGAACGTGTAATTTCGTCTGGTTGTGTAAAACCACTTCTGAAAGCGCCTCGCTTGGGCCCGACAAGATGCATTTTTAATGGGCTGAGTTGGGTCTGGCTCTTGGCTTGCTGTGCAGACAGCACCATCTCTGCGAAGCGTCTTTAATCGGCTGCTATTAAAATGCTTCGTCAAACTGGAAAATGTCAGGATTTGATGGGGTGAACCCAAATGCCCCTTTCCAGATTTGAATGCCCAGAGCCAGTCCCGCTTAGGGGAGGTGGGAGATGGCCCAGATGGACTCGCCCCGGCTGAGGGGTTTTGCTCCGAGTTTCCCACGCCCTTATCCATCCCTATGGAGACTTCACCTCTGTGGGGACCTAGGGATTGAACTTCGCCTCCCCGTGCACGTCTGGTGCTGACCTTTGGTGTCTTCAGCCTCACCCATGCCCACCAGGCACCAGGATGGTTTGTGGGACCCCTCTCTTTAGCCTGTCCCCACCGTGTCCCATGCCCGTTGACCAGAGCTGGTCCCTGGGGCTGTTGGCAGCAGGTCCTGGCCCCTCTCTGTCTGGTTCAGGGCTGTCCGTGCATTCAGAACATCGTGGCCCACCCCAAAAATTGCGGTTTGAGAAGCGACTTTCCAGGAAGCCCTCGGAAACCACATCAGCGCTGCCGTTGGCCTCGCCCCGAGGAGGGACCAGCCCTGGGTGGGAGCTGGGGTGCGCGCTCGCGCTATCGCGGCTCCGAGGTGCAAAGCCCTGCAGTTGGGGCAGGCTCAGACACGAGAGCCAGGAGGTTCACACATAGGGGGGAAAAAGAAAGGCCATGACTCCAGAGCTCAGATCTCTGCTTTTCCAGCCCCATTTTGATGCCAGCATGGGCTGAGGTTGAAGGAGACGTGGGCCATTTGGTGCAGAAATCTGTCCCGGGCTGTGGGAGATTTTCGGAGCAGAGAGAGTGGGATCTGGGTCTCTGCTTGGCTCCTGTCCCCGATTCCTGAGCTCTGTGTTGTGGGTAAAAATGAGACGGGAATCACAGAAGGCATTAATTGTGGGGGGGGGAGCTGCAGATGGCAAACGTGTGTAAAGCAGATGTGCAACAGCGGTTTCTCTCCAGCCGGCGCAAGAAACGATTCCCTCTTCTTCCTTCCCAGCCACGTTTCCAGGTCCGTGTCTCCCACCACGACGTCTCAGATACAAGCCAGGAAGAAGAGGAGAGGGGTGAGTGTCGTTTGTATTGACCAGGGTGGTTCTGCTGCGTCTCGTTGGTCCCAGCCGTGTGCCAGGGCTCCCCATGATGTCCCATGTGTGCGGTGCTGGTGGCACCTCCTTGCTGCGGGGACACGGTGCAAAGTCGACTTCACACCATTCCCTGCTCCATCTCCTGCAGGACTCTCCCTGCAGCCAACTGGAGATTTTTTGGCCTAAAATCTGTCAGAAAGGGGTGAGGATAGGGGTGGAGGAGAGTGATTTTACCTGGGGTTGTCGCCCCAATCAGTTAATGTTTCTTTGCTCAGCTTTTGCACCCAAAACATTTACTTACGTGGCCCTGTTCAGGGCATCTCTCAACCTGCCATGGGCTTTAAACCCACGAGCTGTGGCAATAAACGACCGCGGTTTCTTCTTTCCCACAGATCATCGAGAAGCGGCGCCGGGACCGCATCAACAGCAGCCTCTCCGAATTGCGGCGCCTGGTGCCCACCGCCTTCGAGAAGCAGGTTTGTGTGCCCAGGGTTTCCTCCTTCACGGCTGCGTTTTGGCAGCGTAAAGGTAGAGCCCCCAGAATGGGAAAGTTTGGAGCAATGCTGGGTCTTTCTTATCGCCATCGCTTCAGGGAGTCAGTCGGTGGTGAAACCGGGTGGTAAAACAATATTAACAAATATCCAGGAGCCCCAGGGAGGATAAATTCAATGCAGGAAGTGTTCTGCGGATATGAAGATGCAGAGAAATGGGGATTTTCAATTTGCATCTTGGGAAGGAGCTCCATTTTCTGCTCGCTTGATGTAAAAACCAGAGCAAATGCCCACATTGGGGTATCAGGACGGTTTCTGGGAGGAGGTCACTGGGCAAAACCCAGCTCCTGAGAGGCACAAAACCCCAGACCATGAAATGATGAATTCAGACCATGAAATGATGAATTGCTCTTTTTTTTTTCCCTGCTCCCAACTCACAGGGGTCTTCCAAGCTGGAGAAGGCAGAAATCCTCCAGATGACAGTCGATCACTTGAAGATGCTTCATGCCACTGGAGGAACGGGTAAGAACTGCTCTTGTAAGCTCATGGGTGAGGTGAAGGTGAAAACCTGGAAGGAAAATTCCCTATCAGTGTCTCGGTGCTGTTGTGTCTTGCACCAAAACCAGCGCTGCCCTGCCTGCTTCCCAAGGGAAATATGTTTAGAGGCGTCCATCTGCTCGATGGACATTTCCTGCCCTGCTGTTTTTCTTATATTTAACATATGGGTCAACATCCCATGCATACATTTGGAAGGCTGGGGTGCGTGGGACAGCAAATCCCCACGGATCTGCAGGGACAGCGCTGCTGTCATTGTCACACACCCCCTAAAAGAGATGCTCTGAGCCCTGCTTCCAGAAGAACCACATTAAACCCTTTACCTCCTCCCTGGGATACTTTTCCTGCAGAGGCTGAACTCTGCGTGGAGACTCTGCAAATAAACAAGGCTTTATTTTCCCCTTTCTGTTCTCTGTTTTTTGGGGGTTGTTTCTTGGTTGTTATAAGAAGAGAGAAGGAGCCCTGTGCAAAATTCAACAAAGCTCTTATTTGTGCTGAGACCTCGGTACAGACCCTCTGTCCTGTTCCAGTTAACAGGATGGAGATCACAGCTCCAGCAAAGAAGCCTCTGGCTTGCTTACCGCCCATTTTTGGCTTGCTGGGGACATTGCTGGCATCCAGGCTTTGGTTCAGAGCTGTGACTTGGTCTGGAGCACTTGTTTAGATATTCAGTTTGACTGCACTGCAACAAAGGGCTGTATTGTCACGAGAGACCCCATCGAGCAAAGTGGTCCAGCGCTTTGCTGTGCTGCGGCGTTCTCTGCTCTGGTGCCATGAGTAGGGAGCGGGAGCCTAAAAATCAGCTGTTGGTGGCGGTTTATCATGTTGATTTTTGTGGCTTTGAGCTCTTTGAGTGGTTCTGCCGCTGTCCTGTGTGTCCTGCAGCCCGTGGGTTTAAATGAAGTTTAAAGATTGGGACGCAGGCAGAGGAACGTGGCGCTAAGCTGTGCGTGGAGGAGACGCAGTGTCCTGCTGTGCTGCAAGACCTGGGGATGGTCCATTTGCAAAGAGACCCAGTGCCCATCTAACCCATGATCATGTCAAAACTGATAGAGCCCAATAGGGCTCCTCCCTGAGCACAGTTAATGAATGCTCTTACTCGTCTCACATGCTGGAGTAAGAGGTTTCATGACCTTGGCAGCTTTATCCCCAGGAGATAACCGCAGACGCTGTTCTCACGCACGCAAACGTCCAGTCCTTTCGGACACCCACTTGGCTATCTGCTGCGGGAATATCACACAGCAGCAAAGTGCCTCAAGTGAAAGACACAGTGCGTTAGAGAGGGTACTGAAACCAAAGCGCATTCCTGAGCCCTGCATGGACTTACTGTCACCCCTGCCCTCTCCCTGCAGGCTTCTTGGACGCTCGAGCACTGGCCGTGGATTACAGGAGCATCGGCTTCCGCGAGTGCCTCACTGAGGTCGTCCGGTACCTGGGCGTCCTCGAGGGCCAAAACGCCGCCGACCCCATCCCCCTGCGACTACTGTCTGAAATATTTAGGGGGCCGAAAGGGAGCCGTCGCCGGTGGCCACTTCCCTCGTGCCCATCCAGACGTGGCCGTGGTCCTTCCTCCACGGCGCCGCTGGCCCCGTGCAGATCCCCAGGCGGGAGGCTGCTCCCGCGCCGCTTGTTTTGACTGCATCTTCCCTGCCCTACCCCAGCCCC